AGCATGAACAGATAAAAATATCAAGCACGTGATAGATAAACATCAAGCATGAACAGATAAAAATATCAAGCACATACAGATAAATATCAAGCACGGGACAGATGAAAATCAAGCATAAACAGGTAAAATGTCAGACACGGAGTGACATTTTGTCTAGCCATGCTTGATATTTTATCGCACAATGTCTGATAATTTTGTCCAACTCGGCTTGCCATATTTATGGACATGATATCATGATGTTCTTTTTTTTTGACACTACATCCTGAATTTTTCTATCAATTATTTAATAACAAAAAATTTTTTTTTTTTAATATAAAAGTTACCAATTTATTTATAGTTAAAATTATTAAAATTATCGATTTTTTCAACATAATTTCAGCCAATCAGCCAATCCGAACCATGTTGTTATAATTTATAACCAACCGTTGTTTGTATAAAACTTCGATTTTTAATCAATATTGGATATTGAAGTTGATATTGATACCAATATTGATATTAAATATTAATTTCATGTTTTATAAAATGCTCTCAATAGATACTGTATGATGCTATCCAAATTAATCAATTTAGTAAATTAGTTATTTAACCGATCAATTAATCATTTTAAAAATTTAATTTTTGTTTTGACAAGATTTTAACCCAATTAAACTATTTTATAAAAACTTGAGAAATTTAAATTATTATAAGAAAAAAAAATATTGGTAATAATAAAGAAAATGAAACCCTTCGCAAATAACAAATCACTTATAGGTATGTTGAAAATGGAGTATTAGCTGCTGTAAGTTTTAAGATAATTTTAATAATAGCCACTATTATATAGTAATTTAATTATTAATTTAAATATTTTCATAATAAATTAATTTTTTTTAAAAAAATAGCACAAAATGGTACGGTAAGGGAGAAAGTTTATAACTAAATAAAAATGTATAATTCCTTATTTAGGCAGGATTATTATATAATTTTCATTTTTTCTATTAATAGAATTGAGCTTCTGATTAAATTTGATCTGCATATTTATTGAGTAACAGTGTTGAGTAACACTTAAAAAGTAATGGCGTACATGATTTCCAATTCGATTTGTGACACGGAAATTTTGTAACAATCATCACATATTTATGTAACTGTTTTGATGTCGCCTCTATAAAATAATTAACGTTCATTACGCCGATTTTTTTTTTTTAAAAAAAAATCCTTAATCATGTCATCTCAAAATGATATTATATGCGAAAGTTGTGGTAAAATATATTCATATATAGGTGAAAAATGGTGTAAGACATGTTTAATAAATAATTTAAAAAAAAATTTTACAAACTGGACTAGTGAAAATGAAAAAATTGATAAAATTATTCAAGAAATACAATCAAAGATTAATAAAGAGGAAGATATAATTGTTGAATGGATACCTTATAACCAATTCAATAGTATTAAAAAATTAAGCAAAGATGATTTTGCTACAGCAATATGGAAGGATGGCTCATTAATATATATTAAACAAGAGAGGAAACGTGAAAGAGTACCTAATAAAGAAGTTACTTTAAAATACTTGAATAATTCACAAGATGTTATTAATGATTTACTGAATGAGGTATGAAACTTTTAATTTTTTTAGTATTTAATCTTTAAAAAATACTTTATTATAACAACATTTTTATATTTAACAGATTAAAGCATATTCTATTAGAAGTAGACGAGTGTAAGATTCCTAAAATATATGGAATATCCCAAAATCCAGATACAAAAGATTATGTTATAGTATTTCAAAATGATTGTAATTGCAAAGAATGTGATGACATATATACAGATATAGAGGTTAAATGGTGTAAACCATGTCAAATAAATAATATGAAACAAAACTTGGCAAAATGGACCAGCGGCAATGAAAAAATTGATGAATTTATTCAAGAAATCCAATAGAATATTGAAAAAGATGATATAATTATTGAATAGATACCTTATAACCAATTTAGTAATATTAAAGAAATAAAGAAAGATGATTGAGCTAGTGTATATTCGGCAATATGGAAGAACGTTTTATTAAAATATAATTATGAAGAAAGGAAATATGAAAGAAATCCTAATAAAAAGGTCACTTTAATGAGTTTTAATAATTCACAAAATATTATTAATAACCTTCTAAATGAGGTATGAAACTTCCAATTTTTTTGTATTAAATCTTTAAAGATATATAGCAACTTTTTATATTTAACAGATTAAAGCATATTCATTTAAATTAAATGAATATACAATGTGTGGAATATCCCAAAATCCTGATACGAATGAGTATGTTATAGTGTTTCAAAAAAATTGTAATTGCAAAGAACGTGGTGATGTAGGTACAGATAAAAAATTTGAATGGTGTAGACCATGTCAAATAAGTGATTTAAAACAGAATTTTTCAAGCTGGACTAGTGGAAATAATAAAATTGATAATTTTATGGAAGAAATGCAATTAAAAATTGAAAGTCATAATGATATAATAGTTGAATGGATACCTTATAACCAATTTAGTATTATTGAAGAAATAAGAAATGGTGATTTTGCAAGAGTATATTTGGCAAAATGGAAGAATGGTTTACTAGAGTATAAAGAAGGAAAATATAAAAGAAATCCTAGTAAAGAAGTTACTTTAAAATGCATAAATAATTCACAAAATGTTATTGATAACTTGCTAAATAAGGTATGAAACTTCTAAATTTTTGTAATTAATCTTTATAAATACTTTTAATATACCAACTTTTTTATATAACAGGTTAAATCATATTCTATTAAAATAAATGAAGGTAACATTGCTAAAATATATGGAATATCCCAAAATCCAGATACAAAAGATTATGTTATAGTATTACCAACTGATTGTAATTGCAAAAAATGTGGTGAAATATATACTAATATACTTGTTAAATGGTGTAAACCATGCCAAATAAATAATTTAAAACAAGATTTTGTAAACTGGACTAGTGGAAATGAAGCAATCGATAATTTTATTCAAAAAATGCAATTAAAAATTGAAAGATATAATGATATGGTTGTTAAATGGATTCCATATAACCAGTTTAATATTATCCAAGAAATTAGGTAAAGGTGGATTTGCTACAGTTTACTTAGCAAATTGAAGTAATAATGATATTTTTATATTTAATAGATTAGTGCATATTCTATTCATTCTATTGATTGTATTCTCAAAATATGTGGAATATCTCAAAATCTTTTTACGGCATAAAAAAAAAATATTAATATCTACGAATAACGGTTTCACAGGAATTTTTTTAATAAGATAGATTATATACAGTATATAAAAAAATCACAAAATTGTAAAATAAACTAAAATAAATTTAAAAATCCTCCAATTTCTCTAATATATTATATAACTTGTCAACCTTAGCTTTTAAATCAATTTTCATATCTTCAATTTCTTTGATTAAATTTTTATCTTTAAATCTTTCAATCAAATATTCAATATTCTCACTCATTTCTTTGCCTATATTTTTAAGATTTCCAATTTTCGTTTCAATATTATCATAATATTCCAAAATTGAACTTTTATCATAATTTTCTTCTTTAAAAGTACGTATTGTAAATGTAGTTTTTTCTTCAAAACCTTTATAAATAGCACCTTGATCATCTTTTCTTGTATCTGACCATTCTTCTAAAGATTTTGATTGACCAAAATAATAAATATGTTTTGGTTCAGGTTCAGGATTCCAAAAATGAATATGATGTAATGCTTCATAATCTGCTATATGATTTGCTTGATGTCGCAATAAAGTTTGTCTACCTTTAGTTGCTGCATCTTCATACACACCACTAAAAAATGAATGCATAAATAAAAAATACTATCAAATAATAAATGGTAACTATAATTTGACTAAAAAACTCACCTCATAAAAGCAATCAACATATTTTGTAAAACAATTACAAGGACTATACTACCAATTAAAGTATATACATCAACAGTCCAAAAATCAAATTGATCTCTTTGAACCATATCACCACTAATCCAAAAATATGTAGCTAATATTGCATTAAAAAAAGATGAAAATGGATTATCACTAGATGTTGGATCAAAATCGGATTTAAGTGTAATATTAAGTGTCTCGTTTGTTGAGATATCTGTAGCAATTCCACTGTATGTAGAATCTTTAGTTTTAATCTTTGTAGGATCTCTGAGAAGTACGATCCTATGTATAATAAAGAAAATTAGTTAATCATAGTAAATTATGAATAAATTGAGTGAATTAAAAAAAATTTTTTATACATTGTGTGTGCAAATGCAAGCATTACAACCAACATGAACAAAAAGAATGGTAATATAGTTTTGAAGATAATTATAGCATAATAAATAAAAATGCCAATTTCTATCAAATGGAAAGAATAAGTCAATTATGTAATAATGTAATAAAAGAATAATATTTCTTTAATTCATATATATTTACTTGGTATTAGGCGGAGATAGAAAATCTAAAATTATTAAAATTAGTTAATTTTATATAGAAGAGGAATAATAAATTGGAAAAAAACTTACCAATTCAATCCAAAGAAAGAAAATTGAAAATGATATTCCAACAATTAACCTAATATCGATCTCTTTAAGACTTTCAAAACCATCAGTAAATTGAAAATTTTTAAACATTATTGACATTACTGTTACAGAAAGTGCAGTGGAAATTAAATCAACACTGTTAAATATTTCACCAAAATATTTTTTAAATCCACGATAACGAATTTGTAATACTTCAGTAAAAAGTTGATAAATTGCTAAATAATAAAATATAATAATTAATGTAAATATAAAATTTCCATTTATCATGCTGCTATGATTTAAATATGCCCAACTAACTATTCCAAAACAAGTGGCAAAGATAAGAAATCGAAGGAAAAGAAAAAAGAAGAAATTTCTCGCTTTTTGCCAACGGAAATCAATGACCGCTTCAGTTGCTGGATTATCATAAATATCATCATTATTTTCATAATGTATCATCCTAGAAAATGGGCTCAACTTTTTCCTATCACATCGATTAATTTGATAAAATCGTGGTATAAATATAAACGAAAGAAGGTTTAAAATAATTTTTATCAAATTATACTCTTTATATTCTCTTTCAAAATTGTTCATAGTGAAACCGGGAAGAGGGACTATTCTTAAAGCTATTGGAGATTTTCCAAGATCATTATCGAAATTTTCATAATTCTTAATTATATAACTATTAAGAAATTTAATTTGGTTTCGTATATTATCGTACCACTTAATATTATCAGACTTCAATTTGACTATAGGTCTAAATGCTCTAAATTTGATGTTATGATTACGTCTTTCACGATATTCTGGTGGAATAATTTCATTAGGATCTTGAGCTGAGAAGTGGTCCTGATCTGCAAAACATTCTTTAAAAAACAACTTTCTGGCATAATCATCTATTATAAATATATAGGATTGTATGTTAATTTCAAATTTGAAAGCAGTAGAAAGGACAATTAAGATGGGGGACAGGTTAGAGCTAAATACAAACCATAATTGTATTTAAATAATAAAGGGATCGCCTTAGAAACAGTACACATCCAACCTGCACAATCTGTTGCATGACTAGAATAATACTCTAAAAGATAAGCGACAATAATCGTATCTTTAAGTTCACGACCTATAAGTAGAACAATAAATTTCAATTGTGAAAAATAATGCTTCGTCATGAAGTTTAAGTTCAAGATTTATTTACTTACCTTTGCAATGATAAATCGCTAATTCCATATTATTTTTCGGTTCGATATCTTCATTATCTTTTATCCCATCTTTTTTTTCAAAGTCAAGGTCACCATCTTTTATGAACTTTTCTCCTGGCCATGAGTTATCTCTTGGTATATGTCTAGTTTCAAAATTTTTTTTCCTTCCCTTTTTTTCACTTTTTTTCTCTACTTCTTTTTTTTTATAATCATCTTTATCTTCGATAGTTTCTTCCTCACTTCCAAATAATATAAATTTTATCAAATGGTCGCAATCACCAAGAATTAAATTTTTCATTACATTATATCGAATATCCAACAATTTAAAATTTTTTGGTTCATATTTAGCAAATCTCCAGACTATATGTTTGATATACCTAATCATCTCCTCATACTTTAATTATAAATAAGCATTAATAAATTTATTTCCTAAAGAACAGCAGACGAAATTCAATGTGTTTAACTTACTCTGTGTACCCTAATATAATTATTTGCAAGGCGTTTACCTTTATGACGCTTATTAAGATGTTCTAATGCTTTGCAAGCATGTCTTACTGCATGAAATTTTTCAATAATATCTTTTCGTTTAATTACTTTTTCCCATCTTTTTACCTTTATACTACCATCTATTATCTCTTGTTTTTTTTTCTCTTTTTCCGCCTCGTCTATGTCTTCTTTTTCATTGTTCTCTTTTAATTGTTTTTCAATTTTATCTATTTCTTCATCTTCTTCCTTTATTATTTCATGTTCTTCCTTTTTTGAATTCTTTTTATTATCTTTTCTTTCATACCAATAAACCTTTAAATAAAAGTCATCCAATTTTTCATGTAATCCAACATTTGGTTCATATTTAAAATACTCAATTCGTAACTTTGTTTTTTCCCTTTCCTGATTTACAGGAATATGATTAGTCCATATATACTCGAGAAATGGTTTTCCTTTGTTGGGAAGTTGCTCTTTCTGTTTTTTATTCTTTGTTTCACCATTTATTTGATGCCAAATTTGAACAGTGGATCTGCCAACAATAAGTTGTAAAGTTTCTTCTTCTGTTCCTTGATGATGATAATGACAGTAAGAAGATTTTTTATATTCGTCTAACACCCATGGTTCCGTGTCGTCAACTATTGGTTCAAAATTTTTATATTTTTTATTGTAATATATTTTATGGCTCTCATCCGACTTTCCATCTGGTTTTTCGTCTAATTTTATGAGAACTGCGTTTTTCTCTTTTTCCTCTTTTTCCTTTTGCCGTTTCAATTTTTCTTCAACTTTTTTAATTAATGATGAAACTGTTCCATTATCATCGATTTGTAAAATATTCCCTAAAGTTCTTGCTAGGCGAGTTTTAATATCCTTTTTAATACTTATTAGAGAATCATCTAACTCTACTATTTCATAATTGCTGGTATTATATAAATCCCAAATTATAATCTTTACGTCGCCTTTCGGACATTTACCTATAATAAATATTTTTTCATCACTATTAAAAAATTCTAATAGGACTATTTTTTCTAGTTCATCAAATTCCTTTGATGCAATTTGTAAACCATTCTCCCTATAATATAATCTAATAAATACAAATTAGATAATGTAAAATTAGCGTAATTAGAAGATAATTGATTAATAAAATGAATTATCATACCTAATAATATTATTTCCTTGAGTAAAACAAAGTTGTAACTTGCCAACTGAAAAGGTACTAGAATAGTATTCATTTACAAACTCATCCTTTTTTTCAACTTTTTTTGCAGTAGTTTCTAATTCCATCTTTGCCAGATCAAAAACTAAAATAAAATGCATTAATATATTTTCGATTGTATTTAAGAGGTAAATAACTTTAAAATTTTTACCTTCGAGAGATTGTACGTCATTCTCAAATTGTGTAGCCAAAAAATATTTATCGTAAATGCACGAGAGAAGTCGTTTTATGTAATTTTTTTTATCATTTTCCGTACTATACCAGTCATCTAATTCACGTCTAATACTTTTTGGGTATTCAAATTTCTCATTCAAATAAAAAAAATCATCATTATTATTAATATGAATACTATACATCCAATTAAAATCCAATATTACAAGTCTTTTTTGTTGAGTATCGTCCAAAATTTCTTCTTTTGAAACCTCCACGAATCTACATATCCCTGATATTTCATTATTATAGTAACGAGTCACATCACTAAGATCACTAAGAACATAACTATTATTCTCTTTTTTAAATTTTAGACGAAAAATAACAATTCCTTTAGTTTCGCTATTTTCTTCAGTTACTTTCATATCCTTGTTAACATTTATGCGAGATATGGCGACAAAAATAAAACATTCATTGTTATTCTCCTCGTACATATTTGATATATCAAAAGACCATTCAAATGTTTCGTTCTTTTCATCCTTTTTCAAACCACTGTTTTCAGAAACTTGCGATTCATCTTGAATTTCTTTAGTTGAATAAGACTTATCGTAATCTGTGTTATAAAGCTTATCAATAGTTAAGTCATCTTTTATTTTAAAATAAGCGATTGTTTTATCAATTGTGTCTGTGTCTGGTTCATCGTATGATTCTTTCTTATTATTATAAACATCTCTATTGCGGAAAACGAATTCACGATAATCAGTGTTTTCCAATAATTTAACCCGAAGGTTTGCTTTTTTTAAAAAAAAGTAAATATTAATATATTTATACTATATGATTGTATAAATTATTTTCTAATGACGAAAATCGATTTTTTTTTACCTGTATTAAATGTAATGACAAATTTTCCATCTTGACAAATTGCAATTTGATAATCTTTTTCCTTCTCAGTGACGTCATCTTCAATTTCACATTTTACTTTTTCAATCTCATATTTTTTTTCATTTTTAATAAAACTTAAAACATCCTTAAATGTATTTTTAGGTTTGATTTGATAAGCTTTTATATTTTTTATATTGCGATATTCATCATTGTCAACATTGATACTGTGAAAAGAATTTTTATCCATGTTTTTTGTTTATAAGAATTTATTTAGAAAGATTTCTTTTTGATAATTCGAAAAAGATGAAAGTGATTAATTCATGAAAATGCTCAATTTATTTAAAAAATGTAAAAAATTTTACAAAATCAGTATGACAACATCACATAATCCACTTTATTATACTTCCGATTTGAGATTAATTCTGTTTACTGCAGCTATTAGTGATTAAATTTTTTATTTAAAAAATCTAAATTAAGCAGTATTGTTTTGCATGATGATCATAATGCAGATTACATTGCATACAACATAAAAGTTCATCAGAATCAAACGACGAATTTTTTTTTCTTATTGAATAAATCAATAATGGGTTAACATGACAAATAATGACAATTGACTTTTTTTTTATCATTATATGAGTAGAATTTGGAATTCATGACACAACTGTATGTATCCTTTAAACTTATATACAGTTGAGGCATATTAAGACATTTTTAGTGGACTTAATTTCCTGCACGAATTTCACTAAAAAATATACTAAAAATTTTTATTGTCTTTTCTAAAAAAGGATATGAAAAGAAAATAAATAACCCGCCCACAAACTTAACCTTCAAATCTATCGTCAGCTTTGTATTTTATTCTAGGAAATTATATAGGTATTATGAATAGGGCGCTATGATCTGCAAAATACCGTTATTTATTATGTCGCGCAGTAATACAGTAGATGTATATATTATATACTAAAATTAATCATATGACATCACATCCCTTCTAAAAATAGCCCCTTAACCTTCAAATCTACCGTCAGCTTTAGTATTTTAAAATTCTAGGAAATTTTATTGGTAGGTATTATAAATAGGACGCTATTATCTGCAAAAATACAAGTAGGTGTATCAAAAAAAAAAAAAAAAAAAATTTAAATAAATAAATACTATAAAATTAATTATATGACATCACATCCCTGTATCCATTCATTTATATTTAAAAATTTACAAATAATTTTAGAATTTGGGTATCGAAATAAATTTATTAGAAGGAATTGTTTCTAATTTGTACGGACACAACAATTTTTTATTTTGTAAATGAATATCTAAATTTTGACATACGTTTAAGAAAAGAATGTTGTTTAACTTTATATGTATGTGGTGATCAAAGGATATTTTTTTTGTGCTTATAAATACGTTTATCCTTTCTATATTCCTTCTCCCAGTACTAAGAAATTCTTTCATGCAGAACACTAGCACAGATACACATACAGTTGTAAATTTTATAGTTATTGTTCAATTAAAAAATGAGAAAATGAATTTAAAAAATAAACATAGTGATAAAATGCGATCATGACCAATTTTTCAATAACGATGAAAATTATGTAATTAAGTTTTAAAAATTTAATTACAAATAATTAAGATTGAACCGGTCCGGTCCTAAAAAAGACCGGTCCTTGACCATTTGTAAGATAGGCCCTTAAACTTCAAATTTATTTTATTTATAACGTAACGACGGTTGATGATCATTGATCAACAAGACGAAATTCAGATCACACTAAAAATTTTGATTATTTATTACCTTTATTTTCATTGCAATAATCTAAATATGGCTCAAATAAAATCTCAAAGTTTAAGAATAACTATTTATGACAAAACTTTACATTTATAGGAATATTAAAAAAAAAAAAAATTGTAAACTATTGTAAAACTATATGTCGATCACGTAACACAAATTTTTATTTCTCGTACTTTTAACTTTTTTTTTATAAAGCATCAATAAGGAATCGAATGATATTGATATTATAAAATAACAGAATATGAAAATTTTAAGAATTCAAAATGAAATATGTTGTGCGACAGATGCCGATTTGCGTCAGATGACGTCGGCCTACATTATCGGCCTAATATTGCCTAATATTATAATTCCTTAAGTGGGTTGGCAGTATTACGAGGCGAGCGTCATCTGACGCTCGTCAGCGCAAATCGGCATCTGACGCACAACATATATAATCGGTCCTGGTCCGGAATCCTGGACCAAAGACCGTGAAGGCCGGTCTTTCTAGGGCCAATCCAACCTTACAACATTATTTTAAACTTTTACAAATAGATGCTCGATTTATCATTAATAATTTCCATACCATCTTCGGATTAACACCAAAAATGCGACTAAAAATAGTAACGATAATTATACAAAAGAGAAATATACAGATCATGATGTGTTATTATTGTTATCAGGTGATCCCATTTTTTTTTATTATTGCAACTTATCGATTTATTATACGCAATATTTTATCTGGAATTATTACAATTATTATTTGTAATTTATTATCTGTAATTCATTGTTTTCATGATATAAGGTTTTTGTTTTACAGTCTATTCTTGATATAGCGAAGAAGCCGTCCTTACCTCAAATTCGTTATAGCAAGTTAGCGAAAATTTTGAAGAATTTTATTGGTTGCTTCGTTAAGCATCACGCGATTCGTTATATCAAAATTCGCTATAGGAAGGGTAGATCGTATTGTATGTCCAATAAAATATATAAATACTCGGTAAAAAAAAAGATTAACAAAAAGCTTTTTTTATTAATAAAAAATAAGGGTAATAAACCATTCTTAATTAATAAAAAAATAATTTAGTCAAAGTATCTTCCGATAACTGTCAAAATTAACAACCCGCAGTAGCACAATCCTAGTTTTTAAATTATGTTCGGAATTGTGTGAATAACCAACTCAAATTTTTTTCTCATGTCATGAAATTAAAATAAAAATTAAAGTAATAGCTAAAAGACAATTCATTAGTTTTATAATGAATGAACCAATAAATAAGCAAATATGGTTTTGAAGAATTAAGATTTATAATAATATTAAGTGTTATAAAAATATTTTTTTTACATCATTTAATTTCATATTCTCAACCTCTTTAATAATCTCATTAATAGATTCGATATTAATTTCCTTTTCATTATTTTGATCTTTATGATATTTAATCAACCATTCAATGATATCATTCAAATAATTTTTCATATTGATTTTTTCCATTTTTAAATTTTTATCAACATATTCCCAAATTGAACGTTTATCATAACATCTTCCCTTAAAAGTAAGTTTTGTAAAAGTAGATTTTTCTTCAAAATCTTTATAAATAGCACCTTGTTCACTTTTTCTTGTAGCATACCACTCTTCTAAAGTTTTTGATTGACCAAAATAATAAATATGTTTTGGTTCAGGTTCAAGATTCCATAAATGAATATGATGTAACGCTTCATAATCTACTATATGATTTGCTCGATGTCTTAATAAAGTTTGTCTACCTTTAATTTCTGCTCTTTCAAATACACCACTAAAAGTCAAACAAACAAATAAATAAAATATATCATTATATTATAAAATACCGAAAAAAGTTTAAGAAAAAACTTACCTCATAAAAGCAATCAACATATTTTGTAAAACGATTACAAGAAATATGCTAGCAACAAAAGTAAATATATCAATAGCCCAAAAATCAAAATCATCTCTTTGAACCCAATTACCTCCCATCCAAAAATACGCAGCAATTAATGAATCAGAAAAAGTTGAAAATGGATTGTCACTAGATTTCGGATCAAAATCAGATTTAAGTTCGACATAAAGTGTTTCATTTGTTGTAACATTTGTAGCATTTCCACTATATGTAGATTCTTTGGTTTTAATATTAGCGGGATTTCTAAGTAACACAAACCTACGTGTAGAAAATAAAGATTAATCATGATAATATTTAAATAAATGAATGAATTAGGAAAAAATAAATTTTTCATACATTGTATGTGCGAATGCGAATATCACAATTGACATAAATAAAAAAAATGGAAATATAGTTTTGAAGATAATTATAACATAATATATGTAAATACCAATATCTATCGTGGAAAATTAAATTAATTAATAAATTGGCACGGTTTTTTTTTAAACAAATAATTAATAAACATATTTTTACTTGATATTAAACGGAGATAAAGGATCTACAATTATTAAAAATTATGATTAATTATTGATTTCAACATTTTGAACATTAAGAGGAATAATTAATTGATGGAAAACTAAACTTACCAAATCAATCCAAAGTAAAAAAATTGAAAATGATATCCCTGCAATTAATCCATTATCAATTGTTTTAACACTTCCAAAACCATCAGAAAATTGAAAATTTTTAACCATTATTGACATAACTGTAACAGAAAGTACAAGAGATATTATATCAAAACTGTTAAATATTTCACCAAAATATTTTTTAAATCCACGATAACGAAATTGTATCAATTCAGTAACAATTTGGTAAATTGCCAAATAATAAAATATAATAATTAATGTAAATAAAAAAGTCCCGTTTATAATAGTGCTATAATTCAAATATGCCCAGCTAACTAATCCAAAACAAGTGGCAAAAACAATAAAACGCAGGAATAGTAAAAAAAAGAAAATTTTTGCTTTTCGCCAAAGAAAATCAATGACCGCTTCAGTTGCCGGATTATCATAAATATCATCGTTATTTTCATACAGTATCATCCTAGAAAAAGGGCTCAACTTAGTCCTATCATGCCGACCAATTTGATACCATCGCGGTAAAAATATAATCCAGAAGAGGTTTAAAATAATTTTTAATAACCCATATTCTGCTTTTTTTTTTCCAATATTGTTTTTAGTAAACCCGGGAAGAGGAACTACCCGTAAAGCTAACGGTGATTTTCCAAGATCATTATCAAAATTTTCATAAATTTTGAATATAATATTTTTAAAATTTTTAATTGGGTTTACAATCTTAACATAAACTTCGTATTTATCAGTTTCGAGTTTGACTAGAGGTTTGAATGCTCTAAATTTGATGTCATGATTACGCCTTGCTAGATATTCTGTTGGAATAATTTCGTCAGGTTCTTGAGCTGAAAAATGATCCTGAACTGCAAAACATTCTTTGAAAAATAACTTTCTGGCATAATCATCTATTTTATAGGATAATAATGTAAGTTTTACAAATTTTTCTAGATGAGAATAATAAAATTGGAATAAAAAACGAACCATAATTATATTTAAATAATAAAGGAATTGCCTTAGAAACGGTACACATCCATCCAGCACAATCAGTTGCATGTCTAGAGTAAAATTCCAAAAGGTAAGCAATCATAATCGTATCATTAAGTTCACGTCCTGCAAATAAAATAAATTTGATCAATATTCAGTAATATTGTGTCATAAAGTTAATTAGAGGTTTACCTTTGCAATGATATATTGCTAATTCCATAATATTTTCCGGCACGATTGTTTCATTATCTTCTAGCTTATCAATCTTTTCATCAAAATCAAGATCATCTTCCCTTAAAAATGTTTTTCCTGGCCATAATTTATTACATGGTATATACCTTATTTCGTCTTCTTTTTGTCTTTTCTCTTTTTCTTTTTCTTTACACCCATTTTTGTTTTCATTAATTTCTTCATCATCTCCAAATAATATAAATTTTATCAAATAATCGCAATCACCAAGAATTAAACTTTTCATAATGTTACGTCGGACATCCAAAAGTCTAAAATTTTCTGGCTCGTTTTTAGCAAACCTCCAAACTATATGTTTGACGTAGGTGATAATCTCCTCGTACTTTTTAATTTTTAATTAGAAAGAATTAATTTTATTTCATTAAAAAAAAAAAAAATAAAGTTTAACCTACTTTATGTGCTCTAGTGTAATTATTTGCGAGCCGTTTATTTTTATAACGCTTATTTAGATGTTCTAATGCTCTACAAGCGTGTGTTACTGCGTGAAATTTTTCTATAATATATTTTAGTTTAATTACTTTTTCTTTCCTTTTCACCTTTACACTATTATTTATTATCTCTAGTCTTCTTTTCTCTTTTTCCGTTTCGTCCATGTTTCCATCTTCATTAATCCTTTTTATTTCATCTTCTATTTTACTTATTTCATCTTCTGCTTCCTTTGTTATTTCGCGCTCTTTCTTTTTTGCATGCTCTTCCTTTTTTGAATTCTCTTCATTATCTTTTCTTTCATACCAATAAACCTTTAAATGAAAATCATCCAATTTTTCATGTAATCCAACATTTGATCCATATTTAAAATATTCAATTCGTAATTTTGTTTCTTCCCTTTCTTGATTTATCGGAATACGATTTGTCCATATATATTCAAGAAATGGTTCTCCTTTGTTAGGAAGGTCATCTTTGTTTTTTTTATCTTGGATTTGATGCCAAATTTGAACAGTGGATCTGCCAACAATAAGTTGTAAAGTTTCTACTTCTGTTTCTTTTCGATTATGATAAAGACAATAAGAGTGTCTATCATAATCACCTAACACCCACGGTTCTTTCTCATCAACTATTGGTTTAAACTTTATATATTTCTGATCGTAATATATGTTATGGCTCTCGTCTGGCTCTCCATCTGGTTTTTCGACTATTAATTTTTTAATTGAATCTGTAATTTTATCCGTCTTCTCCTTATCGACCCTTTTCTCATTTTTCTTTTTCTTTTTTAACTCTTTTTCAATTTTTTTAAGGACCGATGAAACTTTTCCGTCATCACCTATTTGTAAAATATTTCCAGAAGTTCTCGCTAAACGAGTGCCAAGATTTTTTATGATATCCATTGGAATGTCTAGCTTTATTGATTCAACTTTACCAGTATCATATAAATCCCAAACCATAGTTTTCAGCTCTTTTTTACCTTCTGGATCTTTTCCTTCTTTCGGACCTTCGCCTATTACAAGTAATTTTTCATCATTTTCAATAAATTCCAATAAATGTATTCGATCTACTTCTAATTTTTTTTTTGCAACTTGTAAACCATTTTCTATATAATATAATCTTATCAATGCGAAATAAATCATAGAAGTCAAATGAGTGAAATTAAGTTTTAAAATATTTACTAATCGTATAACATGTAACTTACCTAATATTGTTTACTCCTCGAGTAAAACAAAGTTGTAATCTACTAACTGAAAAGGTGTCATAATTGTATCTCTTTACGAATTTATCCTTATTTTCAAGTTTTTTTGCAGTAGTTTCTAATTCCATTTTTTCCAGATCATAAACTGTAAGTTTAAATTATCGTTATATTAATAATTACTCTACTATTTCCTCAAGAAAGAAACAATTTCAAGCTTTACCTTCAAGTGATTGCGCATTATTTTTGTATTGTGTAACCAAAAAATATTTATCATAAATACATGATAAAAGTCGTTTCATGCAATCATCGTCAACATACCAACTATCTAGTTCACGTCTAATACTAGCTGGATATTCAAATTTTTCATTCAAGGTAAAAAAATCAAAGTGATCATCAAATTCAAAATTATATATTCCACGATAATTCAATATTATAAATCTTTTTAATTTAAAATCGTATAAAGATTCTGAATCGTCTTCGCTTGAAGCTTCAATGAATCTACAAATTCCTGAAATTTGATCAGAATAATGATAAGTCACAGTGCTAAAAATGTAATTTATTTTCTCTCCTTGATTCTTTTTTAGATCAAGACGATAAATAGCGATTCCTTTTTTAATTTCACTATTATTCCTGCTTGTAAGTACTCTTGTAAGTTCTGGTTGCGTATTTTGCATATCAACTGCAATAGCTTCGTCAGGCGGCAATGGACAATTATATCTTATTTTACTAAGAACTTTTCTTTCATAATCGGGTTTTTTATTATCATCTTTTCTATCTTTTCTCTTCTCCTTACTAGTTCGTCTCATATCCTCGTCAGCTATACGAGATATAGCGACAAAAATAAAAGATTCGCCATTCTTCTCTTGCACATTTGATATATCAAAAGACCATTTTAAGTTGCTTGCTTTGTTTTCTGTTGCTGTTGTGTCATGACCCGATGAGGGAGGATTATAGTTTTCTTTGTAAAACTTTTCAACCATGAAGTCATCATTTATTTTAAAATAAGCTATTATTTGATTAATGTCATCTTGCTCATCAAGTTTTTCTGGTCCGTCGAATTCATTCTTGTTGTTAGAATTGACTTTTTTTTTACTAGACGTGAATGGTCTATGATCAGTGTTTTCCAATATTTTAATCCGAAGGTTTGCTATTCAATTTTTTTTTTTAAAAAAAAACTATGGTTTAAAAGTATATAAATTATTTTTAAATGTTGAAAATTTATTTTTTTACCTGTATCAAATGTAACAGCAAATTTTCCATTTTGACAAATTGCAATTTGATAATTTTCCTTTTCAGAGGCATAGTCAGTTCCGTAATATATTTCTTCATTCAAGACTTGATTCTTAAATACGTTTGCAACATTTTTTACAGTTTTGATTCTATTTAATAAGATATTAGTCATGATTTTGTTTAAATTTTTTTTTTTTAAAAAAAGAATTTTTTGATTATTTGGGAAAAGAAATAGGGGAAAGTACTCAATTTTTTTTTAAAAAAAACACTAAAGTTACTATTTAAAGACAACTTAACATATAAAATCTTAATCTAATAAATACGGTAGTACAGAATCTCAGATTAGAAATTATAGCGATGCAATTGTTGTTATTTTTGAAATTTGTAAAAAAAATTTTTTATTGAAAAAAATCTAAATTGGTAACTTTTAGAAAAAACGTAAGCAGATATATATGAAAATTTGCAGATGATGATCATTCGTTCTTTATAACAATGCAGATATGCATGCATGCATATGTATCTACCAAACGATGAAAAATCAAGGAATTTGTGATACCTTAATCATAGTTGAGGCTGAAACAATGATCGGTACACAGAGATATTTTTGAGATATTTTTGGTAAATTCAAATAAAAAAGTCCCTGCACGCAAAATCTTACCAAACGAAGGCTGAAAATAGCAAGTATATTAATTATTAATTAAAAAAGAAAAGAAAAAAGAAAAAATACACAAACTTAACTTTCAATTTATAATTGGGCGGCGTTTCTTCTAAGTCTGAAAAAAAAAGAAATTATTATTAATTTATTAAATTCATATTGATATTTATAATTATGTGAAACAGCTGATCGCATGATTTAGATTTACACCAATCAACACCAATAAAGACCATTCATTATAATATTAGATACCAGCTTTTTAACCATCCTATTTTAGTCTTGTGACGATTACGACATACATTATTATTATAAAATAATGATTATTATATGACAATAGCTTTGCGCTCATTCATATTTATTGAATAAGTTTTAGAATTTTAATTTTTTTTAAAAAAAATATTATAACATTTTAGGTGACTTGTTTCTTATATAGTGTAATAAGATGAAACACTCTTCGTTTGATTTGCAAGAAAAAAAAGTAAATATAGTGGAACGAATACAAGTAGTCACTTTTTTTGCATAAATAATATCACGTGACTATACGTAAGGATTTCATGACGTTTTGATGACAAAAAGCACATATGTCTTAAGCTCATGATTATGCCAAAAAAGTCTACTACAGGTAACGCTTTTATTGGGTGACTAGTTAATAATGGTTATTTTGGTTAGTTAATTTGTGAGAGTTGATGATCATATCCAGAAATGCATTAAAATTTTGACAATCATATTTTGAAAGAAAAATTAGGCGTATTTTTAGTATTTTTGTGGATTAGTTTTCATATTTTTTTATCTAACTATAATTTCCAATTTGGACGCAAATAATTTTGTATATTATTAGTTAGAGAGATAGAGAAACCTTCTTTAAATTATTTTTTGTTAGAAAAGGAAATCATTTACCATTTTTAATTTTTTATTCTCTTCTCTTTTCGTAATAAAAAAAAAATTTGACTCAAAAAAGTCAAAATTTTTCGTAAACATTTGAATGTGGTATCTGAATTAAAATTGTCAGTTTTATTATCAATATATTAAAATTGAGCATAATTGTGCAACTAAAATGTAAAATTTCTTATTTGTGACACAAACATCTGAATTGATATCACGTGGTGTTACGCATATCGATCGCTATATCATAAATACGCGTAGATGTATACTTGCCGCCCAAATAAATGGGATGAGAGTCCCATTTTCTGTTAAATATTAGGAAGAACAATAAATTATATAAAAAATTGAAATTTTTTTAGTTCTTTTATTTATCAAAGTAGAATAAATTGAATAAATCAGCTAAAAGTAAAAATTCTAATTAATATAAATATCTGCCACTAATCAATAAATAGAATTAATTTTTCTGATTTATAGTTAATTTGTAATTATTAAATAGCAAATATTGATACTAATTAAAATTAATTCTAATATGATTTTTTTTTAACTTTAACTAACGGCTTTTTTGTTTAGTATAATTTGGCTCAGTTCTGTTTTGATAATTTGGATTAGTTTTTTATTTTTATTATTTATTGTTATAAAAAGTTTATAATTTTATAATGCAAAAATATATATATTTATATAATAAAAAAATACATTTTTATGATAACTCAATCAATATCAATGGTGTGAATGTGATCTTAGTACTTTTGAATTCCTTTCATTGAGACGAATCTAATGATATAAATTTTATCAAATTCCAATTCAATAGATTCTTAAAATTAGGGTATGTAGTATATGGCATTTAAACCCCTGTAATACCAGAGCTGTAATTCTGGCCGGAATTATATGATCGGCGTAGTAAAATTTCCTTATTTGGATTTTGTATATCATCACGTGATTAATTGACCTTACAAATATACACGTATAAGATTAATGATGACCGGTTCCCCTAATGACTCCCCAGTCGCTGGACTAAGCACCAAATAATATGATTTTTGTTTTCTTTTCTAAATATACGGTTATGGGTCTAAATCGCGACGGGTCAAAATCCCGAATGGGTCAAAATCCCGACAGTTGGCCAGCGTTATGCAGAGTTATGCGTAATCACGTGATATTTTTGACCAGCATTAGAATTCGAGATTTTGACCCGTCGCGATTTTGACCGGATCCGTTCATAAACTAATGGTAGTAATCAATTATTAGCCTTTTATGAAATAAAGAAACATACTTCATCAATGTTATCATTAAATTGAAATTAGAAAGAGAAAAAAGAAAAGAATTTATTTGTAGACAGTTGAGGATTGTGAGTGTACAGTATATAAAGAAGATAAATACAAAAATGTTCAAGTTTCGGAACTATGTCAAAATTTAGAAATTGAAAAATTGCAAATTTATCATTTGGGTCACCAGATACTCATGAACTCATGAAATATCATGATTCATCGGCTAAATTTAAATTGACCATAAATCTTTACCAAGATGATAAACTAATAAGAAAATTTCTGCTTGTTGTGCGACCCTATCTTAACTTACCAAATATAAAAATTTCGTAGCTACACTTTAAAGATGTACAAGGAATACTGCTATATTTTTTATTTAGGCCACGCAAGTTAATATTTTCGGTTCATTTCACCCGGCTGAGTTAATTTTCAATTTATTTATTTATTTTATTTCATAAAGAGGAGTGATCAGAGATCTATATATGTATTTAGATACGAAGAAATAAAGAAGAACCATTCTAGTATAAGATACTCAGATACAAACCCCAATCCTGTAAGATATAAAGAGTCAATTTTCAAAAATTTGACCAAGAAATTTTTACACATAAAAATTTTATCACGTGATTTTAAGTAATTTATTATTGGTTAAAACTTTATTATTACGAATAGTAATTTATGTAATTAATCACCCAATTTGTTAATTAATATTAATTTTATTTTATTTTCAAAAAAAAAAGACCTCATGCAGTCATGCTTATCAATTATTATTGAACGTCCCTTTTTAGAGGAAATAAAACTAAAAATACAACTTACTTCCGGGTGGTGTTAACCACAAGACGAAAAATTCTCTAATGGAATTTTTTTTAATAGAAAGAAAAATTTTTTCTTTACTCCTCTTTTATTTTCGATTAATCTTCACAATACGGAAAAAGTTCTCCTCAATTATTCTCTTCTTCACATTCTGTTCACAGTTAAAACAAAGTGCTTCTTTAAACATTCCATTGAATATTAAATATGGAATTTCAATGGGACTATTGCATGTTAAAGTATTATTAGCTTTAACAATTGAAAATAATTTTTTTAAAGAGTCATTTGTCTTCGTATATATCATAAGTATTTCATTTAAAATTCTTGTGGTTCATCACTTTCATGTGAAGATAACTTTGATTTTGAATAGATTACACGCCACTTGTCACACTCTCCACATTGAATAAGTGTACCTACATTTTTGCAGTATTGTGCACTAGGTCTAAGACCCATTTCATTCTTATTTTCATAAAGAAGGTCTATATTCTTCTGTAGTTTCAGTTCTTAACCATTTAGCTCTTCGAAACTTTTATATTTTTACCATCTAACGGCAATAAAAATCACTTGCCGTAAGATTTAGCAATGCCTATTATTATATTATAAATTATTATAGGTTTTATTTTAAAGTTAAAAACATATATAAAATTTTTTAATAAAAATAAGTAAAAACAGAAAATAGGACTTTTTTTAATAATTTATTATTAGAAAAATAGAATTAATATTTTATTATTAAAAAAGTATAAAAGATACTGTAAATACCAAAATTTTTATTAAAAAAAAATGAAAAATATGGAATATAATAAATATAATAATTTAAACAAAAATACACGAAGGATCTTTTTTTTTTTAGCACGCGTCAATCACGTTGATATTATATACAGTGTGTTGGTGTTGTAAAAAAAAACCGGAATTAAAAAATCGGCCATAACATCACCAATTATACATAAAGTAGCTTATTTGAAAGATGGAAACCCATAAATTTTATCAATAATAAATTAATATGGAATTTATTTTAGTAATTTTTCTATAATTAAGCTTATAATTATATTTTTCTTATTTATTTTGGTAAACTACATACATTTTTGTAATTTGAACCATTTATTAGCATTTTTACTATATACCGAAATTGTGATAATTTAAAGAGATAATTTAAAGAATAAAACTCTCATCATTTTGTCGTAAAGGTTTATTTACTGCAAAATTTTTTGATATTTATTTTTTGGCATTATTCTAAATAATATTTGAGTATTTTAAATTAAATCTAATCCACAATGTTTATAAATGTAATTTAATTTTCTGTTATATTTTTTAATTTAAAATAAATAATTATTGCTGATTTTTTCAAAAGATAATGAAGTGTTTATAACTTCAAAAGATATCAATATGTAGCCTTGGTCTCAGGTTTATTATACAATTTACACAATGTAAATTGAATTTATTTTGGGCGCATAACATGCATTTTTATCACGTGAATAGTTTTCCGGTTTTTTTTTGCAACACACTGTAAATAATTTTTTTAAAAAAAAAATATACGAGTGCTTAATACATATGTGATCTAATGTTGGAATT